CTTCCTTCAACGTAATCACCAACAGCGACTTCTACCGCAAGTATCAACCTATTCTTCTGAGTCCAATGAGAGAACCATTGCATTTTAGGACAGATTCGCCAGAAAGGCATCACAAGGTTTATCATCTATAGGCTACAATTTTATGCGTAGCTGGTCATTTTTCGATTTGCGATAAACTTTTAGTAGAGACATTCAATAGTGATAGCTTTCAGGCCGCAAAAATTTACAAATAGATTAGTCAGGCGCGTTCAATAATCAAGGAGCTGAACCGGTCAGTGGTGATGAATAAACATTTCAGCAGTGATGCGAAACAATCTGCCTTAACGTCTACACCCAAAAAGATTACTCAGCTTTGGTCTTGAACGCCTGATGCTGTATGAAGGAGTGTGGATGCGGATAGAAGCAGCCGACATGGTGCGATGAGGCTCGATAAAGGTTACAGTATGGCAATAGGAGACACCCTCATTTGTGAATCCCTTCTTCTCCAGATCAGAAAATCATAACTGCGACAGTTTAGATATCACAGGAGTAGGTTTCCGCCGCTGCATTCACGTAGCAAGCTCTCTTGGTAAAGGCACAAGAAAGAAAGCATGGAGCAGATCGTGTACCAAATGACTCGATTTTGTACGTCTCATATCGTTACACCTTGGAATTCAGCCCAAGTTCAGGCGACGTCCTCTAACAACTGATCTAGTGAACGCAAAGGAATACTGTTATTAAAACGAATGAATAGGGACAAAGAATGGGATATGATTGCCGCTACATTCGAATATACTAATCTACAGGATTTCATGACAGGGGATTCAGATGTTGTCATTGTCCATTAACACTAAGTAACCATTCACAGAGTCACCTTTAACATTAAAGGGCGTATATGCAAAGGATATGTTACAGACACAAAACAGAACCAGTAGAAGAGGAACAACTTAACAAAGAGCAGCTTTCTCTGACTGATAAAGTAAACGTAGCTTGGTATGACAGGCAAAATTCAAGCTTAATGTCAATTATGTTTTACGGCATACAACGAACAAAAGAGAAAGAGAAAACGAAGAAAAAGATGGAAGGCATGATGAAATGACCAAATCATTATGTTTTCAAATTTCCTACGGGAATACAACGATCAGCGAAAAACGGTTCAGAGGTTTTCAGAAAGAAACATTCATTACGACTTACCAGTGGCGACCTGATGACCAAGTCCTCTGCTACCGCAATGAACCATGACACATACTTGGCCCCTGTGATCAATTCCCATTTTGCGAGCAGCATGATCGTCGTAAATCTCCTCGACAACCTGCACCTCTCCATAATGATTGCCAGCTCCAAGGGTACCGAGCTAAAGCAAACGTGGCAACGCAGGGAAATCACCAATAACAACAAACATGATTATGCCCATAATCACTTAAGTAATAAGTCATACTTGAGGAAGTCCTCGCTTCTTTGCTCTGGGTGACACCTTGACAGGGTCGGCCTGTAGCATACGTCCATATTCTTCGCAGTGTTCTTTGTCCTCCGCCCAAGAATAGCCCTCTCGTAGGGTCCAGTCGGTTCCCATTTCCAAGCATTCTTCGAAATCGCTAAAAGGTAACTGTGCATGCATAGTGTTAAAGCGACAGTGATCTGCACGGGCTTAACAGATCGATGAACAGTACTCATTAAAGAGCATAAATGGCTCAATAACGACAATTACTGTGGAAAAAAAGCAGAACATCGCACAAGTTTATATGCCGCAATGGCGCCAAAGCCTTCGAGATGGTCAAGAAGGAAAATTTTTACTCTGCATGAGAGAAGGACAAACATTTACTTATCGAATTTTTTTTCACATTTTGTATCAGCGTTATGTTTTATGACTTTCATGCTGACAACGGTATAAGTTTGTCATTAATTGCATTCTCCTCTACAACCGCTGCAAAACATGTTGAAGGATTTTTTTTCATCCTAGGTAATTATAATACACTTGTTTTGATATTAAATTATACTAAATGCAAATTTTGTAATAAAATATTCGTAACATTTCAAAGAAAAAACCGAGCGACGTGATATAAAAGTAACCAAGTCATAAAGCAACCATTTACAGAAATGAATGCATAAATAATTTTATCCATCTGTTTACTTCATCTCATAATGTATTGCTTCAGTTCATTACTACATGCCAAAGACCTTGGTTTCTCAGTAGTACAATGTCAGACTCAGAACTCAGAGGATGCGTATTTGAGCCCCGGCCTCGCCTTTCTTCTTCTTGAGACTAATAAATGAATACGATTATATGGAAAGGAAATATGAGCCTACACAACAGGCTTGTGTCACAGCATAGAAATATAGATCAGCGCTCCACGATTAACTGCATGAAAAAAGGGCGCCAGAAATGGTTCTATGATGAACGCATGAAGAAAACCGACATTCTAATGTTTATAAACTTTCCTTCCTTCTTTCTTACTATATGAGTGTTTCTGTGATGAAGATTAGCCTGAACAATACCGAGGGATTTAGTACTTTCAAGAAAAGCAATTTGCGCTATTTCATAGGTAAGTGGAATGCCACTAAAGCAGGGAAATAATTTTAAGTATGTCGCAGTAATATCCTGAATGTTCTGGAGTGACGTTACGCAGGACACACCGATGAGGCAGAAAAGCGCTATAACACATGAGCTTAACTGATCTGTCGCGTTGAAGGAAAGCTAAAACGTAGTACGAAGATACCCCTAAATGCCTAGATGCCTTTAAATTTGTCTAAGAACCTACCCATGCCCATATCCATGAGCAGTGGAGTGATCGAAAGAGTGACCCGCGGCAAGAATTAAAAATTAGGTTTCTTCACAGGACTACTAGCGTGAAGAGGCTCGAAAAAGTCCGGAAATGGCAGTTGAAGAAACCTTCGTCTATTGCCTCTTTTTTCCATAACAAATAGTCACAACTGCGACAGTCTGAATACTTAATTAGGATGCTAGTTAAAAACACCAGAATGGGAAAACCGTATAAATAAACGCATGAAACGTAAATCTGTACAATCTTATATCGTTTACTGCACCTTCCTGTAGCTTTCGAATTTTAAGAAACTAAAAATAAATATAATTTCCATCGTTTTTTTGCATGGTAACCCGGTATTTCAAGTTTATTGCAAACGAAACTCAGCTCTGAGTCATCATTACTGGTAGTCAAAGTAAAATTCAAAACTGTCAAACACTTTGATACCAACGTGTCAGCTTCTCTGATACGCATGATACTGCACTCACCGAGCATTCATTGGAATGATACCCTTTGAACCAACTCCGACCGGAATGTGGTCGAACAAGCTCTGCGCAAGTTGTTCTTTGACCGGCAATACATCTTTTTCGTCCAAGTTTGTCCTGATCAGTCGAACACCACAATTTATGTCAAAGCCGACACCACCTAGAAAGCAAACCATTAAATCTAAATCACAATAATCATGATAAATAAAAATATCAAAGCATAGGAAACGGTTTACACATTATTAATTTTCAAGCTTTTTGAGGCTATGTGTGATTCGATCGTATATTTGGCTATTAATGTGGCCTTTTCAAGAGAATCAAATAAAAATACCTCGCAGAAAACAGATCTTTCTAGACTCATCGATTCAGGGTACTCGGGAAATGTGACTACATTTTGATTACTATGCTACCTGATCTAAAAATCTCGTTTTCTAATTTTGTACATGGATACCTCAATGTTACATCACCCATTGCCACTGAGTATTTCGCTCCTGCGCTGGTGGTCATATTGAAACAGTATAAATCACGGTTTTTGTACACAACCAATATGACCAATATGACCTGTAGGCCCGCGTCTCAATGAAGTGGGTGAAATCGAAAGTTTTTCCAGTTCTCTGGCTCTGACCGTACAATCTACAGCGAACGATAAACTACCCAGATAACACATCCCGAAAACCAATCAACGCTAACTCGCGGCTGTTTAGATGATGTCATTGTTGACTGTCAAACAAAATATAACAAAACATGAACTGCCAAAAACGAACTACAGTTTGTCTGATTGTTGCGCCATTGTCATTTAAACTCAATAAACCATACGTCTTCTGAGCCATAATTTATAACAGTAATGAGAAAAATGGTATCAAAATTCTTTACCTTGTAAATAGTACAGCAAAATACTCCCAAAAGAGAGTGAAATAGTGAATCTCTGCAAAAGGTTTCTATTCGAGGGCGAATTATGATCTTCGTCTAACCCAATTTCTTGTAGAAGTACAATTTTTCTGTCAAACAATTGTTTAATATGTCGAATGAATATGGTATCAAGATTCATCATCCGGCATGTTTTTAATGTCAAGATTCGGGTCGGTTTTCGCTGCATTCTAGCATATGAAGACTGCCAGAAAACGAATCATGATTCTGCTTCAACTGGGTATGGCACAATGGCCATACTTCGAAGTACATATTCATAAAGGTTACATCTCCTAGCATTATTAAAAATTACACTAAAGCATTCCATATTTCAGGAGTCATGCAGCTGGCTGCTTTGAAATATCATTGAATCACCTCAATAAAAAGGTCTGCAAACAACAGGCGCAATAAACAACGACCAATGGTATGTGAACCTGATATGATGCTCTGATGCTTACATCATTGATGCCGCGTTTCGCTAGTACAAAGAAGGAATTATGTTTTATTAACTGTCTGTTCTGCAAGGTGGGTCTCAAAAAAATAAACTGACCGCTTAAACACCCTGTTTCACTTTACACATTGAAACAGCTGCACAAAACCAACCTGGCGAAATGACCGACTGCGGATCACTGACGTCGAAAGCAGCCATATTCCCTATTGCAAAGCCGTAACCGGAATGGACATCGGGAAGTCCAACGGATCGCTAACAAAACACAGCTTTCAAATTCGTCAACGAACAACTGAACACTGCTTAAAAACCCAGCTTTATAACAGATCTTACAATGTGACCTACCATAACGCACGACGCCTACGACATTGATATAAGGCAGCTGACCTGCTCAGCTTACGATTTTCACAACACATCAAAATTTGCGTAGGTCCGCTTTACAAAGGGCGAATAAGCATATTGGTGAAGATTTGTAATTAGGGATAAAATGCAGATTCCTACATACAGTATCCTGATTCCTCAGGGACTAGCAATGAAGTTTGACGTTTCAAAAAAAGTAGCTGCACTGTGCATATCGACGACTAGCCTTTCTGTACGTGTACCAAAATGTAGCTTTTCGTCTTTGGTGACAGCAAGACAGTTTGCGCTGATCGTTTGGTTCTGCAGCGAAATGGAACAATGGGACGAGAGAGTCAATTAATTATTACCAGAATGCTTGGTGAGCCGGAATATGCATTTTTGGTTTGACTATGATTAACGAGTAAGCCACCTTCCCCTGATCTTGAATAGAACCGACTGTAGACGAATACTTTGTGTAATGATCTTTGAAAATATTTCTACATAGTACTAAAGTATCATCGGCATATTTTATGCATGAACATTTTGTGGTGACTGCACATGTATGATCGATTTCAGTAGCTGCTATGTCATGCTATTTCTCTGTCAGTACATCTACAAATGTTAATTAACGAGTCAGCGATGTGTTCTCTAAGAAGCGACGCCACATTATTGCTTTCTACAAAGCACAATACCAATAACAACTACCAGTCTGAAACTGTGTTCTGCTGAAAAAAAACTACTTAAAGACGTCAACTTACCCAAACGATCCCCGGCAACGCAGCAACGTTGCCGATCTGCTTCATTGCGGGAAGAAAACCGCCGTAGCCACCCCCGCGACACGCGTTCCGTAGCTCATCGAAAATCAATTGCTCTAAGTTCTTATTCACGTAAAAATAGCCATCAACCTATAAAACAAAAAGATTAGAAAGCAGCCAGAACAAGCTTAAATACAACAAACAATAAAAGAAAATATATAACAAACAATAAAGGAAAATTTTACAATCTAAATAGGGTGTTAACTGCTAAATTTGACCAGCTGATCTGCTGTATAAAGCCTGTAGCAGAGGACGGTATTTTGCAAAGCAACCATCGACCCTCATCAATGAAAATGAAGTTAACGAGAAACAATGAACAATATGCATCGAATCAAGTACTGATGCAGTTAACTGCAATGCCTCCAAAAAGGAAGGCTAAGCAACTCTTTCTTGCGAAACCGACTGGCCGGCAGAAGGCCCAGCGGACGGCCAAGATTAACCTGGTGCAAAAATATGGAAGATGTCTGTTCCAGACTCCAGTTGTCTACTGCCGAAGCTCAGACTCTGGCACTGGACCGGAAACATTGGAAGCTCTCTGACGCGTCTGCCTCCGCGACCCGAAAGGAGAAGCGGCGATGGAAGATGAAGATGAAGAAGATACAATTAACAATATTCAGGACAGTAGAAGATTGCAAACTTTACGTTAACGCCGCAAATACGAAAAGTGATTTTCAGGTTCTTTTCTTATAATTCAATCTATCCGTGGTTCAGACAGCTTTCTGGAATTCGTTCATGCTAATTCAACAAGTCATTCATCCACCATAACCATACACTGCTTCAAAGCACTTGAATAGTAGACCTCTGCCGGTATTCCAATTCCATAATATGCTTGCAATGTTCGTCTCACTGATCTATCACAACTTGACTTTTGTCTTTTCAGCTTTGATCTGATATCCCACTCCTACATCGATGTTGCACGTAGATCAGGTGAATGCCAACAGGCCATTTGCTAAGTCATTGAAAAACATGAAGCCACCTAGATATGTCCTGATCAAGTATGATAACAGCACCAGCGGAAAACTTAAGTTGTGAGGAATTTGACACCAGTCACTTGTGGTTCTTGCAAAAGATACTTGCGGCACTGCATGTTCAACCACGGTGCTACATAACAATGCAGAAAACATCTCGCCTTGACGACCACAACCATCTAGTGTTTTCTCTCATACAGACAATCTGCTAAGTTTACTATCACCTTAGAATCCATAGCCACTAATCATCGCCATGTTGTCTGGCATTTGGAGGAGTTGAAGACTCCTTATAAAACCAAAAAAGAAGCGACGTACCAGAACAGTTGGAGAATTAATTCCTACATAGATCGATAATCCGCTTCAGCGCAAAGATGACGTATATGTATGAATGTAACTCTGCAGAAAGTATTCAAAACTTGTTTGCAACGAAGCACTGATGGCCATCTTCGGTCACCCAAGGATTATCTACACGAATATTTTCTCCAACTCAGGCAAAAGCATATTGTCTAAAATCATTAAGGTAAAGAAAAATTGATATCGAGGAAACGAACCAGGAATCACATTAGGACCTGTGTATAACTGCTTTCTTCAGATCGTCTGCAACTACTAGAAGGATATACAAGAAACATAGTTCATCTTGAAATACTTCATTTAAAACGTCGAAATGACTATGCGATCAGAGGTTCATATACTCATCGGATGTGGAGGGGGAACGAAACTGTGACGAGACTCCTTTATGCCTATATTATACTTGATGGTATTCCAGATGCGGTAAACAGCTGTCTAGTTATTGTAAGGCTTGTGGTAGCAGCAGCAACACCGACAATAAGTCGAGCTTGCCATGGTCGTTCAAAGTCCGCATGTTCAACCAGGCATTAAAATACTCCTATTAGAAGACGTGGAGTTCTTGCATGTCATAACTTTTACCTCCAAAAAGTTGAACCTCCTATGAATGAAAACCTCTCCTAGCACAAAGTGCCATATTTGACATGAAGAAAAACCATTACCGCATCGTACGCTTATCGGTAGATGCTTATAAGGACAATTACGTAAGCTACATACAAGAAGATCACACAACACTTTTTCAGCTTTCTGTTATGTGCTCTCTATCTTCATCGGGTCGTGTCTGAGTATTTGGAAAATAAAATTTATCGTCTTAGCTTAGCAGCAACCGAAGGTCGACTTCTTACCTTCATATTAGGCACAAAACCCTTCTTGATATGCCAGAGCACTGGGCCAACCTTCTCTACATAGGAACGTTCTTCTTCGAATGATCGCGGCATTGCTTAAACGGTTGTCTGCACCAAGTTTTCTTACTTTCCTAAAATCATTGTATCAGACAGATAAATGAGCAAGCATGCAATCAGCATTCTCAATTGAAAGACCTAAGTCACTGATTCCAAGGATCCGGAAAATTTAGTAACTGACATCAACTAAGTGTTGTCAATACGTACTTCCGCGTTTGAACCTACAACTCCATAAAATACTCTATGAAGTGAGTAAGTATGCTAAGTCAGCAGATTTGGCTAGAACGCATGAAAGAGTAGCTCTAAGTACATATTTAGAGATGGAGCTGTAAAAGAAGTCTGCATGGAAGCAGTTCTAAGTAGCCAGACATTGAGACCCTACTGATCACAATGAGTGAAGAGGATGAAATTTCAGATACTGATACTGGCGATTTTATTTATGGCCTTCAAAACTTCGGTCATGAGAACATTTTCAGATTTCTTCAAAAACTTGTCCGTCAACGTAAAACAATTTACAAAATATAAAACAGCGATATTCTTAATTCGAAAAAATGGATAATCTGATAGGATAACAATACGGTAAGAGCCGATACTTTAGGTTACCGCCACT